AAATATTTGGTAGTATGAGAACAAAAACCTCCTTCAAATGACAGCAGTTGCAAATTCAAGACGAGTAATTTTACCAGTCCTAGTAACACAGAAGTAAACTGATTTTATCACAATGATGATGAGATGTAGATTTACATGTCTTTTCTTCATAAAAGCAAAGAAGTTTCCTTTAAGCTTAAGCAAGGATCTGCCTATATGAGAAGCTGTGGCTGTGCAACATCTTCAGCAGTCTCAAAGATGACAGATTGGCCTTAACATTGAAACATGGAGCCAAAGAGTCATGTTTTCTTCCTCCAGAATTCACTTGAATTTTCAGAGACTTGAAAACATATGCTTGGTGGAGAGGATGGTGGGAGGCTAGGAGTAAGAGCTTGGGGCTTCCATTCAAACTACAAACACTGCTCTTGGATGGCCTTCTTGATATGATATTCTCTCCTTGGTATATTCACATAGCTTGCCTGAATTGATGATAGGTTTTACACTTGACAAGAAATTATCCTACACCACCCACAAAACTTTAGGGTTTAGAACACATCTGCAATTACATCTGTTACTAATGTGCCCTAACTCAGTGACACATTTTATCCAAAACTGTATTTGGCACATCATCTCACCCTGTCTAAGAAAATACAAAAAGTATTAAACTGTCTACAAGCATCAAATACTATCCTTCTTGTCACAGAATCATAGAATGTTCAAGGTTGGAAGGGACCTCTAGAGATCATCTAGTCCAACCCCCCCTGCCAGAGCAGGACCACCTAGGGCAGGCCACGTAGGAACATGTCCAGGTGGGTTTTGAAAGTCTCCACAGGAAACTCCACAACCTCTCTGAGCAGCCTGTTCCAGGGCTCTGTCACACTCACAGTAATGAAGTCTCTCCTCATGTTGAGGTGGAACCTCCTATGTTCTAACTTAAATCCATCATTTCTTGTTCTATCGCTGGGCACCACTGAGAAGAGATTGTCTCCTTCCTCTTGACACCCACCCCTAAGATATTTATACACGTTAATAACACCCCCTCTCAGCCTTCTCCTTTCAAGGCTAAACAGCCCCAGTTCTCTCAGTCTCTCTTCACAGGAGAGATGTTCAAGTCCCTTAATCATCCTCGTAGCTCTCCATTGGACTCTCTCCAGTAGGTCCCAGTCTCTCTTGAACTGGGGAGCCCAAAACTGGACACAGTATTCCAGGTGTGGTCTCACCAAGGCAGAGTAGAGGAGGAGAAGAACTTCTCTAGACCTGCTGGACACACTCTTCTCAATGCACCCCAGGATCCCATTGGCCCTCTTGGCCACAAGGGCACATTGCTGTCCCATGGACAACTTACTGTCCACTAGGACTCCAAGGTCTTTCTCCATGGGGTTGCTTTCAAGCAGGACATCCCCTAATCTGTATTGGTGTCTGGTGTTATTCCTCCCCAGATGCAAGAATCTACACTTGTCCTTATTGAACTTCATGAGGTTCACCATTGCCCAGCTCTCCAGCCTGTCCAGATCTCATTGGATGGCAGCACAGCCTTCCTGTGTGTGTGTCAGCCACCCCTCCCAGATTTGTATCATCAGCCAACTTGCTGAGGGTGCACTCTATCCCCTCATTCAGGTTGTTGATGAAGATACTGAACAAAACTGGAACCAGCACTGATCCCTGGGGAACACCACTGGCCACTCCGTCTGTTGATCTCATACCTGGTGCCATGTAAACTTTCCTGTGATGAAAAAATCCAAAACATTGCTGGCAGCATCAGCCTTTGAGCTATGTGTTAATTACATGTGCTTTCCTGCCCCTTTCAGTATTCTTGCCTGCTAATGAAGGGACTGAAGAAAATACTACTTGTGCCCCCCATCCTTCAACCGGTCACCCAAGTGTCTTAAAGTACTTTTTAATCCTCTTTAGACTTCTTTGCTCAGTCTCATTGCTGCCAACTTGCACGAACAGCAGGTAATAATCGGTGGGTCACATCAGACCAGGGAGTTTCCTGGTAACATCCCTAATCCAGGCTCCAGGGAGGCAACAAACTTCCCTGTGGGCTGGATCCAGGTGGCAGATGGGACCCTCTGCTCCCCTCAGAATAGAATCTCCAACAACAATTACCCTCCTTTTTTTCTTAGTTTGATGGAGTTATATGAGGTTGACTCACTCACCTTTGCCCCATAGGTGCACCTCCATCTGTCTCATCATTTTCTTGGCTCTTGTGTTCCAGACCTCCATACTTGTTCCATAGGAGAGATTAGGCAGGCGGTCTGTGGTCCCCCCGCCTCTCCAAGCGGGACTTATTTCCATTCCCCCCATCTTTTAGGTCCCCCCTTCATCCTGATGGTCAGGGGGGACAGGATTCCCCACACCTTGTGGAGTTTGCTGTGTCCCGATCATAGAATCATAGAATTGTCAGGGTTGGAAGAGACCTTAAAGATCATCTAGTTCCAACCCCCCTGCCATGGGCAGGGACATCCCCCACTAGATCAGGCTGCTCAGAGCCTC